TAATTTTTAATAAATATATAATATAATGTTTATTACATAATTTTAAATTATATAACAAATTATATAAGTATAATAAAAATAAATAAAGTTAAAGAAACATTTTATTTATTTTTATTTTATGTGTGAGTGTATTGCCTGCATGTGTGTAAGCGCACCCTGTCATGCAGTGACCAGGGAGGTCAGAAGAAGGCATTAGATGCTCTGGAACTGGAGTTACCTGGTTGTTAGCCATCATGTGGGTGTTGGGAACTGAACCCGGGTCCTCTGCAAAGGCAGTCAGTACTCTTAACTCTTAACTGCTGAGCCAGCTCTTGACCCCCACATTTTTGTTCTTAATGTTGCAATGTCTTAAGAGTTAATATTTTATTTTCATTTTAATGCTATGCAGTTGATATCATGGTTTATGTTTTGTGTTTTCCTTGAGGATATAAGACTGAACACATGTGAGTTTTCCAAAACCATAAATTTAGTCTAAAATCTATGAGTATTTATCATGAATATATTTCTGTGGGATAAAGAATGAATATAATGATTACAGTCAAGTAAACAACTTAAATTGATGAGTAAGCCCAGTGTGGTTGCATACACCTGTGATCCCAACACTTGTGAGATACAGGCAGGAGGATCAGGAGTTCAAGTTGATTGTCCAATGCATAGGGCATTCAAGACCAACATCAACTCTGATGAGACTATCTCAAGAATAAAACAAAACAAAACAGCCTCCTAAATAAAATGATAAGTATATAGTGTGAAAATAGCTAATACAAAAGTGACCAATTCAGTGATTAGTATCAGATATATAAAAACTGTTGAATTTAACTTTAAAAATATGATTTCATTCAAATTGATTTACATGTAGATAAAACCTTTATACTTTCTCAAAAATGGTTTTCTGGGTACTGGAGAAAAACCTTACCAGTTAACAGCACCGGCTGTTCTTATAGAAGACCCTGGTTCGAATCCCAGCATGCACGTGGTGTCCAACAACTGTCCATAACTCCAGTTCCAGGAAATCTGATGCCCTCTTCTGTCCTCTGTGGGCATTGCATGACATGGGTGCACTTACACACATGCAGTCATAACACTCATACACATAAAATAAAGATAAATTTAAAAAATGCTTTTCCTTAAGTTGTCAACTGTTTATGTAAAATTCATGTAACGTTCCCTATGTTTATTTCTAGGAATATTGATGTTTTGAAAGCTACTGCAGAAGGTACTTTTCAGATGGGAAATAAGGTACATTGAGAAGCAGCCACTTAAATCAGATTTAAGAATCATAAATAACGTGGTTATATAATTTGCTCATGTTTTGGTTTAGGAATCCTGGAAATTGCAGGGTTCTTTTTTCTCTTTGTTTTTTTGCAGGTTCATGCGATTCAGTGTGATGTGAGGGATCCTGATAAGGTGCATAACACTGTGCTGGAGCTGATCAGAGTTGCAGGGCATCCTGATGTAAGTGTAATGGAGCTGAAGCCAAGCACAAGGTCTTTGATGTTGAAAGTACCATGCACAAAGGAAATGCACTACTGATACCAGCGAGAGCTGGGCTGAACAGTGCTTACTTTCTTTCCCTGGGATGATGGCAGCTCTGCTTAAAACAGAGAAAAGAGTAGATGGATTATTACACTATTACCTCACAGGAATACTTAAAAAACACATTTATAACTATGGAACAAACGTAATTTCACTATATTTAATAAGATTATAAAACAATGAGAGCAGCTATCGCAGAGCACAGTGTCTAGTTTAAATGATTGATTGGCTTTGCTTTGCTTTTCTGAACAACTTTCACTTGTCCCTCAGTGGAGGAGAATACTACAAACTAAACTACAGGAAATCCCATAGTTCTCCACCCCAGCCCTGAGAGGTAAATGGTGTTTTACTGTTACTTGGTTTATTTATTAGAGAGAAACCATTGCATCCAGAAGTCCCAAATAGAGCACTTTCCTATGTTAAAGGTATTTTCAGAAAAAAATCGATACTACTGAATCTGCTGTTGAATTCAGCAGAACCTTTACTAGTGGTGAAGAAGCAGGCCACCAGAGAATTTCTGTAACTTGAAATAAAAGGACAGCAAAAATTAAAAGGCTTTTGTGTGGAGGCTAGGGTGGGTAGAGGCTGGGACAGGTCTCTTTCTGCATGTAGCACAGGCTGATGTGGAGCTTTCTGTATAGCCCAGGCTTCCTTTAATTCTCAGTCCTCTTATCTCAGCCTTCCAAATGCTGGGTTTGCAGGTGTGAAAAACATACTAGACTCTGAAGACATTTCTTGTCATTACTTGAAGTAAAGTGTGGTTACATGGTAAATATGCTTAATCCACATTTATTTACTTTAATAGAGTCTACTGTAATTTAAAGACAGAGGTTAGAATTCTGAGATTGGAAAATAACAGGATATTTTTACAGACCTGAGAACATAAAACTGAACCAATCTCATGGGGTTATTCCATAGCTGATTATGAATTTAGCTGTGTTATATTATTTGGAGTGTTTCAGGTATGAAAGTCATGAATATTTTTTCCAATGGTCAGTGATCAGACTCAGGAATGAGCTGCAGTGTGAGGTGTTTTCAAAGATCTAGGTGTAGAGAAAGGAGTGGGAAATAAACAAACATCCCTGGAGAGAGGCTTAGTGGAGGGGAAGGGCAGAAGTGTTTAGGGAATGATGAGAATTTGATGTGCATAGAGAGTGAGAGAGAGGGGAGGAAATGTTTATGGGGAGGTGGGCTGAGGTGTAACTGGTAAGTTCCCAATACCAAAATAGGGAGTGAGTTTTCCATCAGAGGTGTCTTATGAAGAATGGTAATTTGGTGAAAATTTATTGAAATTGTGCAGAATGGATAATTTTGGAGATTTTGATAGTTTTATTTTTCCTCTATGATGTATGGAAAGATAGCATAGGTAGTAATGTAGGAAAGGGTTAGAAGCTGTGAGCTGAAGACCTTATAGACTAGAGAAGTGCTTTTAGTTGGGCGAATTGTTTGGATGAGGGAGGAATCATTGAAAATGAGAATACTAAAGAGAAAATAGATTTAGATGGAAGTTACTAGGACATTTTTGTCTTGATTGTGGACAAATTTCTTTAATAAGGTTTATGTCTATATAATAGTGACTGTGTAATGCCTCTGTGTTTGTACATGTGTGTACCTAGAGCTAGATTCTGTATTCATTTACTGGACACTTTTATGTACCAGGCCTATGCTGCACGCCTGAAGCAAAGGTGGACAAGACCTTGTCCCTGAGTAAGTGGAGCCACATTCTCAGGGTGGGTAGAGCTCTAAACCAGGCCAAGGAGCCTCAGTTGCTGAATGGGAGGGAGGATAGGGGTCTGGTCCTGTTCCCTCTCTGGTTCAGAAACCTTTGTCTGTGAGTTTCAGTTTTGTCTTCCGAGCATGAATAATTTCACAAACTAGTTTGGGAAGGGATCTGTAAACAAGTGTAAGGTGAGAAGAATAATAGGATCTGCTTTTGTTTTAATACTTGTGTTTGTTTTAATTCTTATGCTAATGCTTAATGTTCAGTGTTTAATGCTTACACTCAATGTTTTAATGTTTATGCTAATGATTTTTTTCCTATGATGCCTTAGATAGAATTGGAGGAGATTAAAGCATGGACTGGCTCTCCCTGCTTATCTGCTAATTCACTTTTTAAAAAAAACCCTCCCCATTTCTCTGCCTCTATGTGATTTTCCCTCTCTACCATTTAAAAAATTTATTGAATTTTTGTGTATTTCATATAGAACATCTTAATCATCTTTATACCCCCTTCCCCACTGGTACCCTCCCATGTTCCTCCCCCACTGGAATTCATGCATTCTGTCATTTGTGTTAAGGTCTATTGTATCATGTTAGTGTTCCCTGATGTCCCTCAGTGCAAGTTCATCCACTGGGATTTAGTCAGCCTATCTAGAGTTCCTTCTTTGAAGATCAGCTCTTCCTCATCCAACAGTAATCAGCTGCCAAAAATTCTTCAACTAAGATTGGGGCCTGCTGCCCATTTTCACAGTTTTAGGCTGGGTTTTTATCTGCTTGAGATTGCATGATTCTTGTGCATGGTGACATCATTGCTGTAGGTTCATATTAGGAAGGTCCCAGGAGCCTGTAGGTCTCTATTTCCATGTGGTCATGCACCTCCTCTCTGGCTCTTACAATCTTTCTGCTCCCTCTTCTGCAAGGTCCCTGAGGACCCTGAAGCCTGTAGGTTCATATTAGGAAGATCCCTGAGCCCTGGGTGGGCAGAATTTAATATAGGAGTCCTGTCCAAGGACCCATACTCTGCATGCCCTTATTCTCTATGCTTTGGCCATTTATGACCTTTTGTGTTCCTGGCCCTCTGTTGCATGAGGGAACTTCATTGGTGAGAATTGAGAGGTGCATTAGTGTTCTCTTTACCCCTTGTTCTATGTTCTATGAGCCTTATGAGCCTTATGTGTCGAGGTTGTATTGTAGATGTGCTGTTTAGGCTTGGGAAATTCACAGACAATCTCTGTGTATGACCAGTTGTGGAACTCCATCTGGTGCAAAAGAAGCTCCTTTGATGCGAGGTGACTGGGATACTTGTCTGTAAATATAAGGATCCTTATTTTGCACATAGTAAGAAATTAGACTTCTCTAGGGATGTGACAGCCTTCAAGTTTTTTCTAAAATCTGACCTCTCCAGCTATGTGTTTCCTCCCATTGAGTGGGCTTTAAGTCCAGTTAGGTAGCTGTTGATTACCCCCAAGATAGAAGTACCACTACTGTCCCAATGTGGTTTGCTGTGCCAGTCGTTGTGGTTATTATACCCTGAAGCTGGGGTCGGACCATCGATTGATGTTCTCACTTAGCAGTTTGATTGTGTCTTCTAAATCTATGAGAGTTAAACCTTCAGGGAGGTAGCGTCCAGGTTAGTTCTAGCTGCATTGCTTCAAGTCCTCTGTCCAAAGTATATCCTGTCTTCAGCAATAGGATCTTACCTTCAAGTTCTGGGAAACAATCAAGGGCTGGGGCAATAGCCTGTGTAATTTTGGGAGTCTCTTGGACTACCCTGGCCAAAACTAGAATGGAGGTTTCTCCTGTCTGGCACTGTTTCTTGTTATAGCCTTCAGCTATATACCAGACTCATGTAGGGATAGTGTATATGTAATTTTTCAGTAGGTTTTTGAACTAATACAATTCCCTCTGTTTTTTTACACTAGCTAGATACTATTTATCTCTCTTCTCTCTCTCCCTGTCTAACCCTCTCTCTACTCCCTCCCCATTAAAAATATTCCCATTTTCCATTATTTCTCTCTTAATACCTGTCTCCTATGATCCACCTCTCTTGAGCTCCTTCTTCTACTTTATCACCATAGTTCTTTGTATCCTATCTCTCTTTAGCCTTTATAGGCTCTTCATTTTTTGGTTCTCTCTCTCTCTCTCTCTCTCCCATTACTTTCTCTTCCTCATCTCTTTTATTTCCTCCATTGCTTATTTGGGATCCTTAGATTTGACTGACTCCTGTCTTTTCTCATTATTGTCTTCCATTTTAACATGGACTTCAGTCTATTTGTACTTGTCACATTAGATTAAAATTCAATTGGCATCATTAAAAATGTATTAGGTAAGACTTTTTAAGAGATGGAGGCCAGTTTCTATTCTTCCAAGTTTCTTGTCAGTCGATACTGTGTCTTGACAGAGTTTGGATCCCTGGGCTGGAGAGGGTACAGTGCCGAGGGTCTGTTCTGGTACTGAATCAGCAGTCAAGGCTCTTAAGGAGTCATGATCTCTCAAGCATCCCACTGTGGGTAAGCCTAGAAATTGGTCCAGGGCAAAGATGTATATAATCTGTCATCGAAAATATGTAGGGGGCTCAGTGTGTAGGTCAGTCAAGGAAGGGTATGGGACAGTCAGTCTAGTGAAGATGAGGGCACAAGTTTCTCTTAGGCAGAAACTGAATGTGTACTAGGAGGGGGTAGCAGATGGCTGAGAATCAAGAGCATTGTCGCTACTTGAAGGGCAGAGGAGCTACAATTAGAGGCATAGCCAGAATTATGAATATATAAAAGATTTAAGAAGTTTCTAAAGACCTTAGCCCACTGCACTTTTTAAAACTTTTTCCAGCATTTTATTTATTCTTTTTATTTTTTATTTTATGTAAATGAGTGTATTTCTTGCATGTATGTAAGTGCATCTGTGTCATGTAATGCCCACAGAAGTCAGAAGAGGAAGTCAGATCCCATGGAACTGGAGTTATGGACCACTGTTAGCCACCATGTGGGTGCTGGGAGTTGAACCCAGGTCCTCTGCAAGAGGAACTAGTGCTTTTAACTGTTGAGCTATCTCTCCAGCCTGCTTCCCCCCATCCCCCAGAAGTCTCATAACCACAAGTGTTATAAGCAAATGGTTGGTCCTTCTTAGGTTTGACATTGAAAATATCACACTAGGTCTATTCCTCACTACAATATCATACATAAACACAAAAAAGAGAGTAGATAATATGGAGCAGAGTGCCTGTAGCTGTTTCTTTAGGAGGAAGAATTTAGAGTGCTTATACTCTGAAAGACTAAGAGAGACTTATGTGGAATCTTAAGAGTCCAATTACAAAGGATGCATGTAGGATACACTTTTTCACTTTTGGTCAATTCCTATATTCTAGAAACAATGTTTACTGTTTGAAACTCACAGAGATGTTTTTGGATGCATACTAAGAATTATTTTATTAGTGACAATAATGGTTGTCTTAGTTCAGGCTACAGTAATACATTACCACAGATTGGGTAGCTTTAAACAAATATTTGTCACAGTTCTAGAGGCTTGTAAAGACCAGGTCAAGATCTTGGCAAGGGCCCTGTTCCTGGTGTTCACACGACCTTTCTTTGGTGACTGTATGCAGAGAGAGCTCACATGTGCTTTTCTTTTTATAGAGCATCCCTGTCATGGGCCTCTTCTCCCACAACCTGATCCAACCCTCATTGTCTCCCAAAAGCTTCACCTCCAAACACCATACATTAGAGATTGGGATTTCAGCATATGGATTATGGAGGAACACAGCGATTGTGCTTTATAATTTATGAAGTATTTTCCTATAACAGTATGGAAGCTCCATGAAACCTGAGTACCATGTGCTGGGATATAGCCAGAGAAGAGTAAATCCATGTATAATACAGCTTTAATGTTGTTTTTGGTTTGTGCAAACAAATAAATTCTGTATGTGTAAAAACAGCAAACTTATGCTCTTAGGCAACCATTACTGTAGTCAAGACAGAATATTTTGATTACCTTCTAAAGTTCTCTTTTGCTACTCTTCAGTCTAGCAGATTAAATCTTTAGATCATTTTTTATCTACTGTTTCTCTTATTCCCATTGGTTGAAGCTAATAGCCATCTGATCTGATTACTTTGTCAAATATAATACATAGTTAGAATATTTCCTACCAGTCTAATGGCTTGCCTTTCATTTCTTTAATACTTTATTGAACAGAAGAAATTTAAATATGGGTAAATCTGTCAAACTACTTTGTAAATTGGCTCTTCCATATTGAATTCCCAATAGCAACTTATAGATTGCAGTCACCTCAAATCATTGCTAACACTTGCTATTGTTAATCTTTTTAAGTTTAAGCAATCAATTCTAGGGATGCACACTTACTTTTCATTATGGTGTTAACTTATGTTTTCCAAATGGTTAATGACATAGAACATTTTTTTTCTTGTGCCTTTTGTCATTGCTATATATTCTTCAATAAAGTGTATAAATCCTTTGTCTATATAAAAAAATTAATTAATTTAGTGTGTGTGTATGTATGTATGTGTGTGTATGTGGTGCTTATGCAAAGGCACATGTGGAGGTAAGAGGACAACTTGGTTTTCACTACCATGTGGATTCTAGGTCCTTAGTCTTGATGGCACTGCCTTTAAGATGCCAGACTTACCAAAACATTTTTGGCTAATTATTTCAACTTCTAACTATTATTTTTCATTAAGCATCTTAGAGCCATTCCTCTGTTGTTTAGTTCAGGGATTTGAAGGGAATTTGTACGTAGATGTTGCTTCCTCCCTTCAGGCTGATCTGCCAAGCCTCATTCTGTTTAGTCTGCCTTTGTAACTGATATTATGTCTAACCCAAATCCAAGGTAGGTCTCTGTGCCACTGTCAATGACGTTAGCTCAATGTTCAACACAGACACACTCTTCATTTTTGCAAGTCTTTCAGAATCTTTAACAATGTAGCATTCAGTTAAAAATATTGTCCATGTGTCCTTTACTATCTTTAAAAAAGTACATTTGGGGCTGGAGATATGGCTCAGCAGTTAAGAGCACTAGCTGCTCTTGCAGAAGACCAAGGTTCAGTTCCCAGCACTCACAGAGGGACTAATAACAATCTGTAACTCCAGTTCCAGAGGATCCAACACCCTTTTCTGGACTCTGTGCATATTACATTACATGGATGAATTTACATATATGGAGGCAAAACACTCATACACATAAAATTTTAAAAAATGCACATGACTAATTTTTCTTCTGTCTGATTTTCAATATATGCAGTAGCCAGCAGGGAACTTTGTAGAAGAGGAGGTGGAAAGAATGTAAGAGCTGGACAGTAGGGAGATGGGCTTTGAGTTGGATAATAAGAAGAAGGGGTTCAGAATGCTATCTTCTAGGCATGACAAAGTCATTGCAATCACAACCTCACAGCAGCTGTAATTGCCTATGCTGGGGCTGCACAAGACTAAACTTGTCAGTAGTCAGTCATGGATCTGGGAGGTGCTCACAGAACTCTACCGAACGCTTGACTACTGATGGATTCTGGAGGAGGCGCAGTCGTTGTATTCACCTGTATGCCTACTGATGAGACCACCTGGCTCCAATGGAGAGTTCCAAATTCATGGTCACACCGAAGTCACTGCTATATTGAGTATTACTCCTTGTTGGAGGAATCATTTTCTCTCATTCCACAGACTGTCTTTAACTCTGTTGTTTGCTTTGTTGAGCAGAAGTTTCTTAGTTTGACTCTTTGTTCTTGCAGCCTGTGCTGTTAGGAACCAACTCCCAAAAGCTGTGTCCATATATGTGTCACAAAGTGTTTTCTCTTTGCTTTGTTCTAGCTGTTTCTTAGTTTCTGATTTTACATCTAGGCCCTTCAATGGGTTTTGAGTAGATTTTGTACCTGGTGAGAGACAGGTTCTAGCTTCATTCTTCTGCATGTGGGTGTCACATTTTCCTGGGCCCTTTGTTGCACAGACTTTTCGCCATTTGTTAAAATCAGCTGACCATTAAGTATTTAGACTTATTTTGGGGTTCTGATTTGTGTCGTTGGTCTGTGTTTTAGTGTTTAAAACCTAAACTTTATTTCACCCATTGCTCTTTTTTTCTGTTTTTGACCTGATTAAATAACACAAATTCATTCTATTGTTGTCATGGGCTGTTACAAACTTGCCTCTTACAAACTTCCTCCTCATGACTGTTCTGATGGAAATAACTGGCTTTCCTACACAGAGAACAGTGTCTGTGTGGCTCAGCTGGGAATCTGGCCATTCTTTCCTCTGAACTTCTAGCACCACTGTTTGGTTTTGAAGTTCAGCTGCTAATTGATTCACCAGGAAACAGTCATTCTTATTAGAATAATGCAATTTCATTTTCACCTCTGTCACATTCAGAGAAAAGAATAAAAGAAGAACATTTCATTCTAAGCAGTGGGCTAGCCAACTTTTCTAGGCTAAGAAAAGGGAAGGGAGAGTGCAGCGTCTTTCATCTCAGCGGCATGAGGAAGAGGAGGTGGAGATAGCATGCTTTCTTTTGGAGCATTTGCCTTGTACAAATAGTTGCCACTTTCAAGTAGGATGTTATCTGTAAGAGTGACTCACTTGGCATTCTTGTCCATGTCCCTTAGGGGCCACTAAATCTCCACATCCTTGTCTTTTACACGGGAGAGTTTTGGAAGCAAGCTATTACAGGGATCTGAGAGACTGAGCTTGACATATAGAAATTGTTGCCAGAATGACTAACATAATCATTCTTATTATCATCTCCTCACAGTGGCACTCAGCCCCCTCTTGCACCCACATTCTCCAGGCTCGGCTGTACTTTGTTTCTAGTCTCAAAAATGCTGATAGAAAGAAACTAAATGTGTGGTGGAGAGGACAAACTCTTCTGAGTGTTCTTTAAAATACTTGTGGTTTTTCAAGTTTAAATCCCTCCCTCGTGTGGCTGCTTTGAGATTGTCCTTGAACTTTTGCCTCAGCTTTGTAAGTGCTGGGATTACAGGTGTGCACCACCATATCTGACGTTCAGTTTTAAAGTGATTATGTTATGTAATTATTAAATTGGATATTTTTTCTTATCTAGTGTTATACCTATATAAGAAGTAAGAATTATTGTTTTCTCGTGAGCTAGAGTACTCTTTGAATTTATAATTTATAACCTATTTATATAACCTACTATGTTCCAAGCACTGCTGATATTTATATGTATAGGGTTATTTTTAGTACAGTTTATGCAGTCAATTTTTATTTTTAATTTTTTCAATGTATATGAATGTTTTGCATATGTATATGTAAGGATACTCATGTGTGCAGTGCCCATGGGAGCCAGAAGAGGGTGTTGGGTCCCCTGGAACTTGAGTTACAGACAGTTGTTAGGTACCATGTACTGGATGCTGGGAAAGAGAACCTGAGTCCCCTGTAAGAAGAGCCAGTGCTCTTGCCCTCTGAGCCATCTCTTCAACCCCACAATTATTTAAAAGAAACTAAAGAAATGAAGCATGTTTTCTGTTTACCCAGGTACTTACTATTCTGATTCATTATCCTTCTGACCATCAGAGTTTTTGTCTCGTATCATGTTCATTTTGCTTCCAGAATGCTCCCTAAATTCACTACAGTGCTGGTCTAGGGACAGTGAGCTATCTTGCTTGCTCACATTCATCTTTTTTTTTTTTAAATCTTTTAACACATGTTCTTTGAAATATTTTAACATGTTTAGATTAACATTCTAAAGTTCTTCAACTGCTAATTTTATCTTCTCTGTCATCTCTTGGTCTCTTTCTATGAATTTCTTTATCTCCTACTTATGTTACTAACTCAAAGTTATATTGCTACTATGTGTTTTGAGAGTTTCTTTGAAGTGTGTTGAGTTTGGTTTTAAAAAGTAGTTACTTTGAGGACACAGGCATTTTGTCTTATTTTTAAAGTTTTATTTGGATGAGTATTGTAGCTTTTCCTTTGGGGCTAATTTAACCCACTTACTAAAGCATGATTTTTCTGAGCTCTCTACAGAAAGTTCTGGGTGTTCAGGAGGTTGCTTATTAATCCTGTGTCTGCAGGCCCAATGTGAGGTCTAGATGTGCAATGTTCAGCCCACAGCTCCATCGCAAGTTGGGTTTTTCCTGAACTCATGGACATTTGAACATGCACAGGGTAGTATCTGGCCATACTCATGGAGACTATTGTAGAAATATATTGATTTCTTGTTCTACAGTGTAGATGGTAGCTAACATAGCACAGTAACTAAAGACACTAAAACGTGTTAAACTGTACAGCAGAGTGAGTAAGGGTAGAAACATGGGCCAGACCCCTTGATGTTGACAGATTAGCCGTATGACCATGAGAAAATGGTTTAACCTTTCTGTGCCTCAGTTGCTTATCTGTAACATAGGGAACAATAATAGCATTCACCCATTGGGGTGTGATCCCTGGCAGGCAGTGAGTGTGCAGAGCCCTGTATTCATGCTTTGACATAGAGTGCAATATTTTAGAATGCACTTTATCTGCTTTAACTTTTAGGTCTCTTAGAAGAATGGGGTAAATATGGAATGTGATTCAATATAAACAGCCAGGGCCTATAAAAACCAAAGTAAGTTTCCGTTGACATATTTTTTAAAAATATTTTATTTTTATTTTATGTGTCCAAGTATATTGCCTGCATGTATGTAAGTATACTTGTGTCCTGCAGTGCTCAAGGAAGTCAGAAGAGGACATCGGATCCCCTGGAACTGGAGTTACAGATGATGGTTAGCCACCATGTGGGTGCTGGAAGCAAACCTGGGTCCTTTGCAAGAACAGCCAGTGCTCTTAACTGCAGAGTCACGGAGTCGTCTTTCTAGCCTCTCAGTTGGTGTAACATTGTGAATGATTAAAGAATGAAACAGTGAAGAATGTGTTCTGATTGCTGTATGAGGGACTGTCCATGGATGCCTGGGTTTGAAGCTTTGGTTGTAGGGAAAGGACCTTTGCCACTATCCAGCATGAGAAATGATAGGGCAGCTAGGGGCATAGCAGGTATGCAACGTCATGATAGGGTGTGTGGTAGTGTCTCTAACGTCTAGGGTATTGATGCTATCAGCTTTGACATTTTTCTGATTTGTTTCTGTTAGTATGTCTGTTATTGTCCTGCATTTCTTAATTTTTGCTCTATTCTAAGTCTGATTTCTTTGACTAACATCCTTTTAAGTCTTCAAAGGCAACTATATTCTTAGTTTAAGAGGCGTTCTGGGAATTTTTCAGGAAGTCCTGGTGGTGCCATAGGTAGCATTTTCTTTGACTCATGCCTGTGCCTTTCACTTTCTGTCAGTTACACCTGTCATCTGACTCCTACTCTCTGGCTGAAAATCCTTTTGGAGGCAGGTCTGTCACCAATGATTGATAGTCTTCCAGAC